GTTCGCTTTTTGAATGACATCGGTGGTCCCGGTCGCAGCTATGCTCTTACCATTGATCCTGCCAATAACAAGGCATTGGAAAGCCACTTAAAATATCATGAATTTAATTATGAACTCACCATTGATGATTTGCAAGAGTAAGTGTCAATATACCCACATTTTTGGAAGATATAATTTATATGAGGGCTTTCAACCTGTCGCAAACACTACTTTACTTCATTGTAAAAAAAACATTTTTTTTTTCTAATTTTAATTTAATTTCTCCTTGGCAGAGTTCTGGAACAAAGTATGCCCGTCAATATGGAATCAAAAAATTCCACAATGACCTGGACTGCATATCATCCATTGGCTGATATTTATAATTGGTTAGATTCATTGGTCATTGATAATATGTTGACCATAACCCCATACATTATTGGCAAAACCTATGAAGGACGTCCCATTAAGGCTGTTAGAATTTCCACCAAACCTGGAAACAAAGCCATTTTCATCGAATCCAACATCCATGCCATTGAATGGATTTCCTCGGCCACCACCACATGTTTCATTAATAATTTGCTCAAGGCTGAATCAGCTGAGATGAAAGAGTTGTTAATGAATTACGATTGGATTTATGTACCCGTTTTGAACACCGATGGTCTCGAGTATACTCACAATGTTGACCGTTTGTGGCGTAAGAATCGTAAACCCACTGGTTTCTCTAACTCCTCGGGTATTTGCTACGGTACCGATATGAATCGTAACTTTGGTTTTATGTGGGGAGGTGGGAACATCCTTTTTGCAAAGTTCGAATGTATTATTGATGTGAAATTAATTTGAATTTTTAGGTGCTGGTCACAACTTTGATGTTCCCTGTGATCACTGGTATGGTGGTGCTGCCGCCGATACTCCAACTCCTTCCCTGAGGGTTATATTCGCATGTATTTGGCTTTCCATGCCTTTGGCAACTTCGTCCTGTTGCCCTATGGCCATTCCAACACTGAATTCCCTCCCAACTATGATCAAATGATGCGTATTGCCAATGCCTTTGCTGATGCTGCCCAAGTGAAATATGGAACTGAATTCTTGAGTGGCGCTAGTGGTCTTTTGAATTGTAAGTAATTTGGAGTGTTTATGTTCCTATAAATATATATTACATCATATGCGTTTGTATTTTAGATCCCGTATCCGGCTCGGCCAAGGATTGGGCCTATGGTGTCAAGAAAATACCCTTCACTGCAACCATTGAATTGCGTGATGATGGCTCCAAATATGGTTTCTTCTTGCCTGCCTCTCAAATCTTGGAAGTATGCGCTGAAGTCACTGATGGTTTAGTGGAAATGGTTCGAAAGGCCCGCGAAGAAGGTCTTTTCAATTAAACTTTAACATAATTTGTGTTAAGCAAAAAGAGGCGAATAAATTTTGTAATTTATAACGAAGTATATATTTAATTTTTAATCGGTGGAAGTGGGTAAAAAACTTTAGATCTTCAAAATATGTTGTACAGGTAGAAACCTTTCAGCTCGTCTATAGTTAATTTATAGACGAGCTGAGTCTTCATAGACGAGCATAGGCTGATGGTTTGGTGGAAATGATTCGTAAGGCCCGCGAAGCAGGTTTTTTCAATTATACTTCAACATTTTTTGTGTTAAGCTAAAAGAGGTTAATAAATTTTGTAATTAATAACGAATTATATATTTTAATTTAAATGGGTGGAGGTGGGTAAAAAAACTTATAGTTGATTTATAGACGAGATGAAGGGAGTCTTCATAGACGAGCAGAAGGGAGTCTTTGTAGACAAGATGAAGGGAGTTTCATAAACGAGCTGAATGGAGACTTTAAAGACGAGCTGAAGGGAGTCTTTCCTGACCTGAAAGATGACCATATATATGAGCTGAAGGGAATTTTATAGACGAGTAGGCAGTATTTATAGACGAGCTGTAGGGAGTGGCGTAGGGGATGATAGATACCAAGCAACGGCTCTGATTGGCTTTAACATGGCGAAGCCCAGGCTTATCTTGGTCCCTCTTTCATCTTAATTGTGGACACTGACCTCCCCGCGGTGCCACCTGGGGAGCTATTCTCCTCACCCGATGAAATAGTGAGCTAACATGTGCCGCGAGTTCACCCATAAGAACTATAAAAAAAATGGGTTGAGGCGTCGGGTTAGTTGCCCACTCTCGGAAAACCCAACCTACTATGAAAAAGCAAAGAAAAAGAAAACCAACCCCCCTAATGTTGACGACTCCCGCAAACGTATAAAGGACCACGATCTGCGAATCTGCACTTGGAATGTGCGCAAGTTGTACAGAACAGGGGCAGTGTTCGCTTTGGCGGATATACTCAAGAAGTACAAAGCCGATATTATTGCCTTACAGGAAATGCGATGGAAAGGGACAGGCGTAAGTAAATCAGACGATTACGCCCTGTATTATAGCTGCCATGAAACGAGACCTGAATTTGGCTGCGGATTTATGGTTAACAGGAGAATAAAAGACCTTGTCTCCAGATTCACTCCAGTAGATGAGCGAATTGCTATAATCCGTATAAAAGCGAAGTTCTTTTACATCAGTCTAATTTGCGCCCATGCTCCGACCGAAGAAAAAGATGAACAGACCAAAGACATATTTTACGAGCGCCTAGAAACAGCATATGACCGTTACCCTGGCCATGACATTAAAATTCTGCTAGGAGATTTTAATGCAAAAATCGGAAGGGAAAATATCTTTGGCCCCACCGTCGGAAAATTCAGCCTTCATGAAGAAACATCCGACAACGGCATAAGGTTAATTGACTTCGCGGCAGCAAAAAACATGGTAGTTAGCAGAACCAGATTCAAGCATCTCGATATACACAATGCCACCTGGATTTCTCTTGATCAAGTAACGAGAAATCAAATTGATCATGATGTGATAGACGGAAGGCATTCATCCAGTGTTTTAGCCGTCCGATCGATCCGAGGAGCGAATATCGATTCGGACCATTACCTTGTGGAAGCAAAGGTACGCACCCGTCTTAATGTTGCAGCAAAGGTGCGATCTAATACAACACGGAAACTCGACGTCGAAAAGCTGCAAACACAACAGGTAGCCGAGGCCTACTCCGCTCAACTTACCCATCTGCTTGAAGAAAGCGCTTCTTGTCCCGATAATAGTATAGAAGCACAATGGCAAAGAATTGCCCACTCCCTAGAAACTGCAGCAAAAAGAACAATTGGGTACCAAAAACCATCACCAAGAAACCCATGGTACGATCAGGAGTGTCGTAATGCTACTGATGTGAAAAACGCAGCGTATAGGACAACCCTGCAGACAGTAGCAACACGTAACGTGATGGAGAATTATCGGGAGAAAAGGCTATGCAGGATAACTTTAAGTGGCACAAGGTCAGCCGTTAAAGTAGGAAAGAACCTATCGGAGCTCTTCAATACCGAACGAGGATTCAGACAAGGTGACAGTTTGTCGTGTGATCTTTTTAACATCCTACTGGAAAATGTCATACGAGACGCAAAGGTGAACAGAAATGGCACTCTGTACACCAAAGAACACAAGTTACTCGCCTACGCCGATGACATTGATATAATGGGTCGAATATTGCGAGCGGTAACAGCCACCTTTGAACAAATTGAAAAGGAGTCTGCCAAAGTGGGTCTGGCAGTAAACGGCGAGAAGACCAAGCTGATGGTATCAACGCGAAAGACGTCCAGTAGACTCGGACCAACTGTAGAACTTGAGAACTACAGCTTCGAGGTAGTTAAAAACTTTATATGCCTTGGTACCGCCATAAATAAAACGAATAATATCAGTTTTGAAATTCGGAGAAGGATTGTGATGGAATCTTTATAGAATCTTTATAGACGATCTGACGGAAGTCTTTACAGATGAGCTGAAGGGAGTCTGTAGAAGCGAGCTCAATGCAGGCCAGAAAATGAGTCCTTTATAGAAAAATATAAAAACAAATTGAGGTTGGATCCATAGCTGCGACAATATCGAAAGACGATTAATCGATATTGATCACGACAACGTTGTCTTTCAAAGAGGTGTTTACAATTGTGATTTAACACCTTGCGCCTTCTTCCCTTGAGATCATATTGGAGGTATTACGTTTAATACGTATCAATAGAGAAAAATATATTTTGGTCCGAAGTCGATATAAATGCATGTTTTATTGCCTCTGACTTTGTATTTGTCGTAATTATTCAACTGAAAAAGTCAGGCAGATACTACAACACACTCAGAATTATTTGATTGAGTAGCAAAGCGTTTCATCAGAGGTATATTTTTTATAATCATAGATGTCCAAAGCTGCCGAAAAACCTTCTTTAAAGTAGTTAACAGATGCTCACCATTGTTTATAATAATTCACTTAATGATTTTGAGATTTTGTAAAATTTCCTTCTATACATATAATGTGACCAAAGTAAAACCCGATGCCGTACTTGGTTCATTGGTATAACATTTTATAAAGCCATAGTTACAAAACTTCAAAATTAACAACTAAATTATAATTTGGCTTATCACTTGATATCCCATGTCTAATTAATTAATCAGACTCTATAACGAATTTCAGATAATAATAAACTGTACAGATTATTAATTATTAGTAATACGAATATATTTTTTTAAGAAGAGTCCGATTAGACAGACTCCCTTTGTGGGAGTTAGAACCATAACAAATATATAGAGGATATATGCATTTCTATATTTAATTTGTAACACATTAAAATATTTCTTACTGTTTACATACTGATCCACATTTTTCACCCAGTCCTCAAACAACGATGCCCAATTCTTATACTGATGATTTTTACTACATTTTCATATAAAGTCACATTTCAAACATAACATTCGTGCTAACCCATTTTACAATTTGTTTAGTTCCAATTTTTATTCCGCCCCTTGTATAAAATTCTCAACATCCTCAACGAGATTTAATAAATAAAACTATTCTTATTATAGTTTAAATTAATTACTTAATTTATTAGCCTCTTTGTAATTCGCTTATAATAAGATAAGCTACATTTAATTGAAAAGACCCTCTTCGCGGGCTTTACGAACCATTTCCACCAAACCATCAGTGACTTCAGTGCATACTTCCAAGATTTGAGAGCCAGGCAAGAAGAAACCATATTTGGAGCCATCATCACGCAATTCAATGGTGGCAGTGAAGGGGATTTTCTTGACACCATAGGCCCAATCCTTGGCCGAGCCGGAAACGGGATCTAAAAATACAGACAAATAAAATGTAATTTATATTTCCAAGAATATCTAAATCCCAAATTACTTACAATTCAAAAGACCACTAGCACCACTCAAGAATTCAGTTCCATATTTCACTTTGGCAGCATCAGCAAAGGCATTGGCAATACGCATCATTTGATCATAGTTGGGTGGGAATTCAGTGTTGGAATGGCCATAGGGCAACAGGACGAAGTTGCCAAAGGCATGGAAAGCCAAATACATGCGAATGTAGCCCTCAGGGAAGGAGTTGACAAAGTGTTGCAAGGCCAAGACCTCAGGTTCGGTATCGGGGGCAGCACCACCATACCAGTGATCACAGGGGACATCAAAGTTGTGGCCGGCACCTAAAAATCGAAAATCAATAACACATTCGAATTTTGCACAAAAATATTAACTCACCTCCCCACATAAAACCAAAGTTACGATTCATATCGGTACCATAACAAATACCCGAAGAGTTCGAGAAACCAGTGGGTTTACGATTCTTACGCCACAAACGTTCAACATTGTGAGTATATTCCAAACCATCGGGGTTCAAAACGGGTACATAAATCCAATCGTAATTCATCAACAATTCTTTCATCTCAGCTGATTCAGCCTTGAGCAAATTATTAATGAAACATGTTGTGGTGGCCGAGGAAATCCATTCAATGGCATGGATGTTGGATTCAATGAAAATAGCCTTGTTTCCGGGTTTGGTGGAAATTCTGACAGCCTTAATGGGACGTCCTTCATAGGTTTTGCCAATAATGTATGGGGTTATGGTCAACATATTATCCATGACCAATGAATCCAACCAATCATAAATATCAGCCAAAGGATGGTAGGCAGTCCAGGTCATTGTCGAATTTTTCGATTCCATATCGACGGGCATACTTTGTTCCAGAACTCTGTCAAGGAGAAATAAAAACAAAATTATAAAAAAAATATTTTTTTTTACAATGAAGTAAAGTAGTGTTTGCGACAGGTTGAAAGCCCTCATATAATTTATATCTTCCAAAAATGTGGGTATATTGACACTTACTCTTGCAAATCATCAATGGTGAGTTCATAATTAAATTCATGATATTTCAAGTGGCTTTCCAAAGCCTTGTTATTGGCAGGATCAATGGTAAGAGCATAGCTGCGACCAGGACCACCGATGTCATTCAAAAAGCGAACCTATAAATATTAAAGGAAATTAGTACATTATCTACCGCCAAATAAATGGAGCGTGGCTAAACTCACTGGAATGTTATTGGCCAATTTCTTGTATTCCGACAGCTGTTGTTCATCCTTGACAAAGACTTTATAGACTTTGAATCCGTCATAGCGAGCCGCTGGTGGTTTAAAGGCAGCTGTCACCCCAAGGACTGCTACGGTGATTGACAAAACTGCGAGTAATTTCATGATGTTTCCCAATGCCAATGAACTATGAATCTGACTTGATTAGAATAGCTATTGGCCTTCTTATATCAAAATTAAGCCACCTCTAGATTTCATAGGAGAAAGTTTTCTTATCTCGATATCATAATTTTATAGGTGGTCATTTCATTTTCATAAACAATGAGAACCGATAATGAAAGTTTCTGTGTATCTGACTACATTTGCCAAATGGAAATGGAATCTGTTTTGTGTATATTTTCTATTATCAGGGTAATAATTACTTATTGTTCTTGACCTGTATTAGTAAGTTATTTGGCATTTTGTGGAAATGATTATTCATTTTTCACTTTTTTTTATTTGAAATTGACATGAACACCTCAGAAAAGACTTCGACCAATAGGAAATTTGCTCCTTGTGAAAACTTCACTTCCTGAAAAAGTATTCTATCCTTTCAAGATCTGCAAAAGATGTTCTATACATAGTACACATGTTAAATCACTTTTCTTTGTGGAATACATGTAGAAGGTCTTCCACCTGTAGAAAACCTGTAATTTATATATAAAACCAGTGAGCGGAGCAGTATAGTCGGACGGGGCCGACCATATGATACCCTACACAACTACCACGAAAAGCACACTTTCGGCGGTTCTATCTTCTGAGCCTGGGCAATATTTCGTGATAATTGCACCCTTTTTACAGTTTATAGATCAACAACTCCTATTTCTAAGTCTTGCATATTTTCCAAAATGTTTTTTCTTGAAGAGAATTTTTACGCCATACAATACAAAATTGGTCACTTTAGGTTTTGGTTGATTTGACCCTCGGAAAATTGACCGATCATCATCTAAACAGCCGCTCTAAGTATTTGGTCAGCTTGTAAAATATATGATGTTCTGTATATAATAATTGCCTCTAAAGCGACTATAAAATCTGACAAAATTAAAGTTTTGGGTTCATTGCATCCCTGAATGAAATTTCAACTTCACCGAAAACTATAAGCGTCGTCCTTGACCATAGTCGGAACTTCATGTACAATTTCAAAGCGATCAGCGCGACATTTCCGTCCTCTAATGGAATAAAAGTAATAATATGCACATAGTCACCTTTACATAATTACGTATAACTCCCGCATCGGAGTACATACAGCCATATAATTGGTATCAATTTGAACTCTCATCTTGGACATACTATCAACATCTCGAGTATATGTCCTTCAGGAGCAAGTATATACGTCCCAGAATAAAAATTTTGTAATTTTTCACACAAAAGTCAGGGTCCATTTGACCCGCTAAATATTGACCGATCTTTATCAAAACAAGTATGCTTATTCTTAGCCCCGATCCCCTCTTCCATGTAAAATTTCACGATGTTCAGACCATAACTGCGGCCTCTGGAGCGACCAGAAAAACCGACAAAAATTTAGTATTTGGTCCATTTCATCCCCTAAATATTAACCGATCTTTATCAAAAACAATAGGGGTCTTCATTGGCCAGAACCCATCCTACATGCAAAATTTCGTGAAGAATGGTCCATAACTGTGGCCTGTATCGTGTTTACAAATTATAATGGACAGACGGACGGACACACATGTCTAGATCGACTCAGCTAGTCGAGATATGACGATCGGTATACATAAAGGTGGGTCTAGGACCAATATTTCGCGGCGTTACAAACTTTTGGGGCTGCACAAAGCTATAATACCCTAACAACATATTTGTTATATTTAATGGTTGCCGTAAGAGTGGTGAAAATTCCTTCTTAAATATTTTGTTTTTCGTTTTTTCATAATAGCATTATTTGGCAACACTCTCTAGTCGTGGGCGTGTGTATCATTCATTTGTTGATAAATTTGTCTAGGTTTAGAGCAAACAACCTAGTGTATTGTTTTGTTTTCATTTAGAAAGTAGTAGAAAAACAAATGTCCACCGTAAACGTCATGCGTCGCTTCGCCTTTGATCTTCGTCATCATAATAGGGGTGTAATTTGTGATGATGACAATACCAATAACAACTGGACTCGTTATTGTGTCCATTGGGTACTATACAACAGTCATTAACTAATAAACCTGTCTGGGTTTAGTGTCAGAATTTCTACCTTGCTTTACCGGTAAATAAATACCGATGATCGAGTCTCGTGTAGTTGAATCGATATAGCCATGTGTGTCCGTCCGTCTAACCATTAAAATTTCTAAACAAAGTACAGACCACAATTATGAGTCAATAGTAATTTTGTATGTAGGTTCGGTTCAGGATAAAGAGGAAACCTACTGTTTTTAATTACGAAATTACAAAGATAATAATAAATGCCGTTTTCGTGGGATACAACCTCAAGAACAAAACATGGACGAGCTAATCGCAAAGCCAGATTGGCTTTCCCAAAAGTTCATATTAATTATAATCCGATTTAGTACCTTTGTTGTCCTATAGTAGGGGAGACCATTCTGCACATTTTTATTGCTCTATATCTCAGTACTTATTCAACAGATATAACCAGTAAGGAAAGTAGTAAAGTCGGACAGGACCGACTATATGATACCCTTCACCGCTTTGGGTATATTCTACAGACGTCGCGTGTTTGTTATATATCTATATCTGAACCGATTTCAGGGAAACTTGCCAGGGACTAATTTATATTACATCAGTACGTTGTGTCAATCGGCCTAGCAGTGGATATTTTCGCGAAGCTAAGCAACATCATTCCAGACTTAATTCAGTATCCTATTCCAAAATTCGTGCAAATCGAAATACATATAGGGACTTTGGTGCACCAAGTACATAAAATCGGATGAAACTATATATGGGAGCTATATCTAAATCTGAACCGATTTTCACGAAACTTTGTACACATTATTCTAGACTTAATTTAGTACGCTGTGCCAAATTTCGTGCAAATCGAAACATATATAGGAACTTTTGTACACAATTTACCTTAAATCGGACGAAGATATATATGGTAGCTATATCTAAAACTGAACCGATTTTCACGAAACTTGGCAGGCATCATTCTAGACCTTATTCATTACGCTGTGCAGAATTTCGCGCAAGTCAATAGATTTCCAGGGACTTTAGTGGACTATTTACCTAAAATCGGGCGAAGCTATATATGGGAGCTTTATCTAAATCTGGACCGATTTTCTCAAAACTTTTCACACATCATTCTAGACTTAATTCAGAACGCTATGCCAAAATTCGTGCAAATCAAAAGATTTCCAGGGACCAGTGTTGCCAAAACTTTGTTGATAAAAAACGCTAGATTTTGTTTAAAAAAAATGCTAGAGAGTGCTAAAAAATGTAAAAAAGTGCCAGATAAAAGTGCTAAAAATGTGTAGAAGGAAATTTGATTATAGCACTGTGCGACACGAAAATTGTTCAGGGGTTTTAATGTACCAATTCTGTTTAGTTGGAGTCCCTGGAACACGAAAATACCATTGGTTTTCCTGGGTCACTTCCAAAATTAGTTTTATAACGGTAAATATAGAAAAAAAACGTGGTCTCATAGATTATCAATTTGAAGCGCGGATAACTTTTTATACCCTCCACCATAGTATGGAGGGTATATTAATTTTGTTTTTCCGTTTGTAACGCATCGAAATAATCATTTCCGACCCTATAAAGTATATATATTCTTGATCAGCGTAAAATTCTATGACGATCTAGCCATGTCCGTCTGTCTGTCTGTTGTAATCACTCTAGCTTCTAAACGAATTGAGATAGATCGCCAAAATTTTGCATAGAGTCGTCTTTTGTCTGCAGGCAGGTCAATTTCGAAGATGGGCCTTATCGGTCAACGTTAAGGCATAGCTCCCATATAAGGGTACCCCCCCATATTTTCGGTATTTTGGGGTTCTTGAGCGCGTTTTTCAACCGAATTCGCTAAAATTTGGTACATTGGGTTCTTATTGGGTACTCAATGTCTCCACAAAAAATTATAAATAAAGGTCCACTTTTTCTGGTAGCCCCCATATAACGGTACCTCCTAATTTTCAGTATTTTGGGTGTTTTTAACGTATTTTTGCGCCGAATTAGCTGTAAAATATTATGAATATAGGTCCATTTTTTCGGATAGCCCCCATAAAAGGGTACCCCCCAAATGTCGGTATGTTAGGGTTCTTGAGCGCGTTTTTCAACCGATTTCGCTGAAATTTGGTACATTTGGTTCCTATTGGGTGCCAAATATCTCCACCAAAATTTATAAATATAGGTCCAATTTTTCTAGTAGCCCCCATATAAGGGTACCCCCAATTTTCGATATTTTAAGGTTCTTGAGCACGTTTTTCAACCGAATTCGCTGAAATTTGGTATTTTGTAGTCGAATATGGTAACAAATTTCTCTACAAAAAAATTTTAATATGCACCCCCTTTTTGGGGTAGTCCACATATAACCCCTGTTTATACCCTCCACCATAGTATGGAGGGTATATTAATTGTGTTTTTCCGTTTGTAACGCATCGAAATAATCATTTCCGACCCTATAAAGTTTATATATTCTTGATCAGCGTAAAATTCTATGACGACCTAGCCGTCTGTCCGTCTGTCACTCTAGCGTCTAAACGAATTGAGATAGATCGCCAAAATTTTGCATAGAGTCGTATTTTGTCTGTAGGCAGGTCAAGTTCGAAGATGGGCTTTATCGGTCTACGTTTAGGCATAGCTCCCATATAAGGGTACCCCCCATATTTTCGGTATTTTGTGGTTCTTGAGCGCGTTTTTCAACCGAATTCGCTAAAATTTAGTACATTGGGTTCTTATTGGGTACTCAATGTCTCCACAAAAAATTATAAATATAGGTCCACTTTTTCTGGTAGCCCCCATATAACGGTACCTCCTAATTTTCAGTATTTTCGGGGTTTTTAACGTATTTTTGCGCCGAATTAGCTGTAATTTAGTATTTTGAGTTCTTAATAGGTACCAAATCTCTCCACAAAAAATTATGAATATAGGTCCATTTTTTCGGATAGCCCCCATATAAGGGTATCCCCCAAATGTCGGTATTTTGGGGTTCTTGAGCGCGTTTTTCAACCGAT